GAAAGTTTTTATTCATAACAAAATGTTCACTTGTTTGTAAATATTGACCAAAACATTACACGGCATGATATGTAGCAGGTCCTGCTTTACCTCGGCCAAAATTTCTTTCAAAAGAAAGCCAAATTTCACTCATTATTTCAAACCAATTATTGAAAATTCCTCTTTAATAAAGGAAAGTGAATATTTCTTCTTTGTCATCTTTAATTATAGTTTGCTCTTTAAGAGTAAAGTTATGTAGCACAAGTGAACTGCGTGACACAACATCCTAAATGACCCTGTAAATCTTCTGTTCTTCGCGAACTACTGTACTAGCGTGTTTTCGAGGCTACGAAACCTAAGAAACCATAAGAGACGAATGTATAGGCCAACAGATAGTATGAGCTTATAAAATCAGCAAAAATACGGTTCTAAATTTTAACAAGTGCCTATGAATTATATACCAAAATGTTCAGGAAAGCCCGGGGTTTTCAAATCCACTTCTGTTTTGTTTGACAGGTTGTGTTTTAATTTAAGGAGAGACGATTTTCTAGCTTGACCCCGGTTATGTCATGCATTTTCTCTTGTAAAATACATCCAAAAGCGTACATTCAACTCAAAACAAGTACGGTGGGTTTTTTCAATAGAATTCAACCTAAACCATATAATACAGTCCGTGAATAGTTTCTAAATCGACATAACAGTGGAGATATCGGCTTCTAGATTTACCTCACATTCTAAACCTGTTTACAAAGGCTCATAATATCTATRCAKATGTGAGTCGTTTGATAAACGTTGAAATAATTCCCAGGTTTTACTATATATAAAGAAAGAGTATAAATCAGGGTTCATTTTGATACCAAGATCTTTTACAAACCATGAATAGTTTATTTTATTTCATTTTATTTTTTCTAGCGCCACCAAGTGCTTGAACGGTGTCGTAACCAGGTAACCACGGACCCAAAACATCCCCTTCCCCCCCCCCGGGCAAAATTGTATCCATTTCGTATTTAGGACTCCAAACCAAGTTTATATACCAAATTTGAGCAAAACCTGTGAGGTAGCTTGGCCAGMCTATGTTTGACTCTTACAGAGTATGACTCTTAAAAACACTCCATACATTGCCTTATAAATATGTGAGATGCATAGCTTGGGCTACCTGTGGTCTTATTATTCACCATTTTCCATACATTGGTTCACTGGTCAAACACAAAGCATTCAGTCGAGGTTGCAAAGTACCCTGGCGCCTCGCTTGAGCGCTTTGTGTTTGACCAGTGAACCAATGTATGGAAAATGGTGAATCAGTGAACAGGAATGAGAATCTACCAGTAAAAATGAATTAAAACTCCGTTAAAGCCTGCTACGGGGAATTGAAGGTCCCCAACTTTATTATTTAAACACGGAAGAACCCCGAGTAAGCTGCACTGCGAGCGTCTAGTTGTAAATAATATTACGGCCGGTGTATTTTCGGTCACACAATGTCTTACCTTTCCCAACAGCTCTACACCAAACCAAGTACCATTATGTCCATGTAAACGTCCCTTGTACCAAATAATTCCATCAAGTTCTCGTGTAGTGCCTATTCGGACAAAAACTTTATGACCAACATCTAAATTGGACTGCTGTAGAAGATTCCTCTCGTTTAGATAAACACGAAACCTTTCCTCTAATGAAGAGACAGAAAGAAGCAAGTCAGCTTCGCTGTCTGTTAGCTTTGAAACACCCAGCAAAGGGCATTCTAGTTCGATGTTTATGTTTAAGTCCATTGAACTTAGAGCGATCTTTTTAGGGTCTTTTGGTTGCTCTGATTCAGGTAAACACTCCAATATATCACCTCGAAAAAGTTGAATAGGTATTGTTTTCTTCGAACAGCAGACTTTTTCCACGTGCTCTCCAAATCTGTCATTCAATAATATATATTTCTGTAGGCCGTTCTCCATGTTTCATACATAATGAGACTACTCACTACATGGATTGAAGCTTGTGAGTACAAGTAATGGCGGAAGTAAGCAAGCCTCGATTCTGTGGTTCACCACAGGAAGCCCAGTTTAACTTATAAACTTAGCCCAAAGTTTTAAAATAGTAGAGTGCTCACACTAAATCCGTGAAACAAATACTCATTTTTAGCAATAAATAGTGATAATTAAACAATAGAAAA